TGCGTTTTTAGCACATTTTATGACCCACGACTTTACCCACGACTTTACCCACGACACACGACTTTTAACCCACGACACGCGACATATAGGGACACTCTTAATGAAAACCGTACCGGCGTCGCCGCCAAATTCAAGTTAGTGTTATCCCGTTTCCTGTACGATGCATGCATTTTGCAGTCTATTAATCCAAAAAACTTGCGCGTTGGAGCAATGTTTAATTGAAATTAATGTCTAATTGAAATTAACAAAATTATATGTTATTAAAACTCATGTTACGAAACATTATTACTTATACATAAAATTTTAGGTTAAAAATAAAATAAAACAAAGATGTTTGCTTGAGAGCAGGTTAAATGCTCGTGCAAGTAAATATTACTAAAAGCCTAATGAGAAGAGATAATGGTATTTGGGCACATGTCAAAATAAAGTAAATATTGATTATTTCCTTCCATTAGACTGTGACAGTTTGTTGAACTAGCTGTCATTGTGCATGTGAAGATGTCATGTTTTGATTGACCTGTATCCTATAGTTTGTCTTGTGGGCAGATCTGTTTAAACAGAGCAGCTGCCTTGGGTCTCATGAACATCGACCTTTTCACGTGGACAGACTCAGGCGTAATCAGTGAGTCATCCCAAGCTAGATAACACTCGGTCATGCAATTAAAATATTAGGTCATCAGAATCTTAGTTCAATAAAATTACGAGTAAATTTAGGTTAGTAGGTAAAGTTATGTTCACATAGGTATAGTTCGAAGTTTTTACTATAAGACCTGCAAAAGTATTTTAAGTTGTGAACCTGATTTGGCATTGATCGATTTAACAGCGAACCGACTCGACAAGTGCGACAACGCCTTAAATAAACAGAATGCGAGAGCTGGAACGAGCTAGCAAAGCCAACCCACTCTTCCATAGCTCAACGTTGATTGGCTGGATACAAATCACACCACTTGCTACATCACGTGTACAGAGATTCCCTCAACCGTTAGTATAAAAGGACGTGCACAATCGAAAGTCGACAGTGGACGTAGACGAAGTAAAACTTAAATGATGAAAAGCTACGAATACTCAAAACGAAACAGCACGGACAAAGAAGACAGACTAAAGACAACGAAGATTTAAAGGCTGAGTGAACGTTAGTAAACTACTACAAGAAGAACCTGCCTGAACACGAAGGAACGATCCGTATTGAACATTTAAGAACTGTTAGTTATCTAAAATTGATGTAACGATTCACTACCTAAATAAAGCCTCGTAACACTCACATATATGCACATGCAGCGCTGGTATGGCGCTGGTATACATCTATAATATATTATGAGCATAAGCTAGATAATAAGACAACTGATTGGCAATATATATACTGCGTGTTCATCGTCTGTATTATTCAGGCAGGCGTTTGAGGGTTGAGCGGGGTTGACATATACAAATTAAATTAACTCACCCAATTATATCATACTAGTGTAATTTAATAGTCCGTTTTATTCTTGGTTTAAATATTGATAAGCTACATCCAATTTAGCAATAATTTAATAATTCTTAATAGCTTAACACATTTGTCAACGCCGTAGTTGGGAGTTATAAATGCAAACACGCGCCAATTTCGAACAAAAACCGCTGTGTGCTCAGATCAATGTCGATCAGATCTGATCAGATCAATTCGCATTGCTTTGACTATATAGCAAGACTAATTGGTACGCGTACAATGACTCGCTCTTTGGCTATCCAAAATCTGGTAGAAAGCACGAAGGAAGCGCAAAGTCCAAAGCGTGTTCGAATGGAAAGACAAGAACAGGAGATTGGCATTCTGTCCGTGCGCGCTCGGGAATGCCTGACTAAAATCGATAAGTCCCTCTCGGTTCAATCAATCAATCTCCCGCCAAAATTACATCGCCGCGCGCGTCAACTAGCGCTCTCATTAAATCGAAGGAAATATCACCACAAGAAAAGAAGCGTCGCATTAAAACGAATGGCGAGCAATTCATGAAATCCTTGAATGTTGTTGCGTATGCCTATGAGGAGAACATCAACGAAACTGATCGGCAATTTGGCATCAGAAGGCGGTCGCCAGGTATATTCTGATGTTGTGATTGGGGCAACCGATGTGATATTAGACAGGTTCAGATTTAGCCTGCGTAGCAGACGGTTTTTAGGGGAGGTTGCGAGCGGGGAAAATTAGGGCGGGAAAACCTCCCCTAAAAACCGTCTGCTACGCAGGCTAGTTCAGATTTGACTACCGCTAGCTACCTTTGACGGCTCCATTGGTAGCGGTCGCGACGGACTGCTTAGACCTGTTCAGATTTGACTTCTCCCGACGACCATAAATCGCTTTGTTACGGTCCCAAAACAAAAACATGCGACGATTTCCTCACGCTCTTGCAGTTACTGCGCATGCGTAACACATTTAAGGTAGCGGTAGTGATAGTGGAAGTCAAATCTGAACCTGTCTATTTTCAAGACTCGAGGCATTAGACACGACTCCTTCGGAACAAAGCCAGTCAATAGGCAACTTGCATGTTAGACAAATTTTTGATTTCGGCAAAAAAAAGTAAATTCCCGTAAAGAACTTATCAAAATCAGCAAAATTCCAAAATTTGGTTGCGAAATGTTGTAAAATACAGAAAATATAGACTTGCGAAGTTTGCAATCTTCAGTCATTTTGTATTACGTGCGAAAATTGTTACCATTTTCGAGCCGAAAATGGTAACAATTTCCGCACGTAATACAAATATACTGAAAATATGCAAACTTCGCAAGGCTATATTTTCTGCATTTTACAACATTTCGCAACCAGATTTTGCTATTTTACTGATTTCATTATTTTCTTTTTAACTGTTGTGTTTTATTCCCTTCTCTTTACTTAGATTAAAATTTAGTCTAACATGCAAGTTGTCCATTCTGCTTAAATTTATACAAATGCCAGATTGGACCATGCTTCTTGGCATGACACTAGCCTACGTCATAGACTCGCCTACGTCATAGACTCAAACTCGTTTCTCGTAGAACGAACGAGTTTGAGTCTATGACGTAGGCTAGGCTTGGTATTTGATATCCTCTTTCATATT